ATTCAGACTAGACATCTTTCTCCCTGCACAATAACCCAATAAGAACATCAGTTATTTGAATAACTAAATTATATAAGTTCTCGACGATTAAGAGATGCTTGCGGAGGAGGCTAGACATATATAGTTCGGGGTTCAGTGCAAGCATACACTATTAACTTTTATTATATAAACATAAGTGTTATATAGAGTTTTTGGCCACTGAGAAAAATAGTATTTAAACACACGTAAAAAATACAATATTTTTACGTGTGAAAATATCATTTGTTGTAAAACGCATTGCCACGGACGTTTTATTGTTTTTCACTGAATTTTGTTTATATAATAAACAGAAAAATACATGGTTGCTTGGAAATACCAGATACTCGAAATAAATCTGGTATTTCACTAGTAATTCTCTATTTCTTTAATTTAAATAATGTAGTAGAAGATCTGTATAGCAGAAGTCTTGTAAAAAAAATTTGTTTTGCTGTTTTTGTTTGTTGTATCGAATCTTGACGACTTGTTGTCTAGCCAGGGTGGAAGTCACATAAAAAGCTGTCTGTTTGTATAAAGCAATATATTCTTTTGTAAAATATGATTATAGTATAGGTCTAATCTTTTCTCTTACATGCTCGTCACGCTTTTTTGTTTTTTCGTTCGTTTTTACCTTCAGTGATGAGTACCTTTCGATTTATATGCCAGCCACACCCATTTTTCTCTGTTTTCAATCGGTTCTGGCACTTGGCTGAAGACCTAAAATTGTTGAAGACCTAAATCGCAACAACTCCAGGTTTTGAACAGAAAATTTAAAACACGACACCTGTCTGATACAAACACCCTTGCGATAGCTAACAACATACCTCTCTAACACTCTCTAACATGGATAACTCACTAATATACGGATACTAATTCTAACACGACCTCTCTAATACAAATATTTCAGACACCTCTTTAACACCGACATCTCTCCGACATAGACATCTCTCTGAATTATATAAGATACCCTCCTAGACCCAAACAAGCCCACACGCATTTGTCATCGAACCAGTGTCTCCAAATTTACTTATTTCAAAAGTTGAAAGAAACGTTTAAACTTCAAAATTAATGAGTATATCTTTTAAAATACTGATTACTGCATGTGTAACAGCCCAGAAAAAATGTACGTGTAACTACGGTATATTGAACAAGCTATTAGCTGACTATAAAATCCTATCTTACGACTATGAGTTAATGTCCAGTGATTTAGAGGCTTTCATATAATAAACCGATATTTTGAATACATGTGCGCATGCCATCTCCCCTGAGATCGTTTTGCACCTTCGCTGAGAATTTTTGCACCTCCCCTTGAACGTTTCAATGATATGTCAAAGTAAAAATATGATGGTTGCTTAGGGTCTACACTTCATAAGAAAGTTTATTTGTTAAATTGAAACAGTGATAGCTATTCATCTCTGTGTCAAGTACCCTTTTAATACAATGTTTTGAAAGAAACTTTGTGGTAGTTGTACTAGTAATGCATGAAGTACAAGATTGGATGACTTGTTATATACACTACATTCATAGGCTACGTTACGTCGTTGACTTTGGCCCGTTCTAAGCCCTAACTTGCCATGGGGATCCTGACCTAAACCGTGGCACCTCCCCTAATTTTTTTCTACCTCCCCCACTATTTCCACCAAAATCCGGCCTTGTTTTCAAAATACCATATTTTGTTTTTTGATTTATTCTGACATATTTTGACCTGATTAAGATTTATTTCGTCATTTCGTTTCGTATATATAAATACAATAAACTACAACTAAAATAATGTAAATTTAAGATCACTATATAAAAAAAATAGTCATATAGGCATATAGCATAGGCAATTTCATCATTTCAATTTCATTTTATCATAAAATTATTCCAACAGTTTTGAGAAATTCTTTACCCCAACCTCTGAAATTTATAAATATATAGTACTGGGCTTGCTTGTAAAAAACATTTTGTATGCATAATATCAGATCTAATTATGGTAAATTTAACATTAGGTTTTCTGGTGCTAAAATTTGGAACTTTCTTCCTTGTCGTTACTAATTTCTTAGTTTGTCCAGCTTCAAACGCACAATCATATTTCCATATAATTTAATTCGGTGTATATGTTATGTATACATTATGCTTGCATTCTTTAATCTCTATTTAATGCCATCAATTCCCCCAGCTAATTGAATATTAATAATTTAATTTAAGTGGGTTACCTGACCGATTAACCATACATGGTTATCTCAGAAACCCAGCACGATTAATTATTTCATTTCATTTATTAATTTTCATTAATTTAAAATAAAAAAAGAGAAAAAAAGATGAAACATAAATTGCCAATTGATCACTTGTAAGAAGTCAAATAAAGCTTTATATCAGTGAAATGTTCAGTATAATTAGTCAAAAATACGGAGAAAATTTAACTATATAATTCTCAACATCCGCGGCCAACCTTCGTAAGCAAATTAGTGACAATTAGAAGCATGCATGGGCAGAAACTGTTCACCAGAAAACATTGGATTGAGAAGGATTCGACTACGTGAAAAATACAAATAAAACTTCGATGTTTCGAGCGAATTCAGAATCACTGGCAGACACAACCAACAAATATTCTGAAGTCATAGTTTAACAACAGTATCAGTACAGCAAACAAATGCTCAGATAACGCTAAACTAATACCGTGACTAAACTGAATATTATACATTAGTATTTTTGCACAAGTGAATATAACAAATCCTACGTACAGATTGATTGGTCAAATTAGTATTAAGCTGTAATATTCACCTTTTCTCCACAGGTGAATATTAACAAAACCGAAATTTGCAAAATGGCGGCTAGCCGTTTTGTGGAAGTTACTGATAAAGAAATAAGTAAAAATTAAAATAAATTCAGTCCCAAAAAACACAAAAGACTTGTGTAAATAACAGTTATTCGCCTCAGGCTCGGTGATTATCGAGAAATATTCACTTCAACTTTGTCTCGCTGAATATTCCCCGATTATCACCTCGCCTTGTTAGTTACTCAGTTAGTTGAACATCGATTACTTAGGTGAACATCGATTAGTTACTCAGTTAGTTGAACATCAGTTAGTTGAACATCACCTACACAGTAGTGTAGGTGATGTATGATTGTCTATTTAAGCACACACATTAAATGTTTAGGAATCAAGGATTTAGGAATCAAGCAATACGACCAGAGTAAACAAATATGTAATTAGCTAACGAGAAACTATGATTAACTTACCGGAACATATGAATTATTTGAATTGATCTTATATCTCGACATTCGCGAACTAGGACATGGCCATTTTTTTTGCTTTCAGTTGCATTCTTTAATGCGCTGGAGCAAGTTGTAGCATTTCCACATTGTTTGCAGACTTTTATGAAAGCCAAAGCTCAAAAGACCACAAGCTTCCCCAACAACTACTGTGAACGACTATTTCGCAACGAATTACTAAAATTATTTGCATATATTTGACTAATGACGATCCTTAACTTTCCACACCAGATTCCTACATATTGATTAAAACAATAGGTGGATTGCAACCAATCTCTTGGGGATTAAACGACAAGTCGGCAATACGGAATGCAGGTCTTGTTGACGCCAAACTCAACGAAAGATGATGCGATTCTTTTGTTGACATATTAAAACCTCTGTTTTCGTTTCCTGAATAGGAATGCGGCGATATTCCTATACATGTATAAAACAAAGAGGTTCAGTGTAAGATGTAATTTTGTTTAGAAATTTGCATCGATGCGTGCGTGTTCTCCAACTTATTATACATGATCTTTCGAAGTAGACCATATAGGCAATAGTCTATCGCAAAAACAGAAAAAAGTATGATCAAACATGCAAACACTAGAGGAAATTTCTAAACAAAATGACGCTATTCGTACCCGTAAACCGGGGTATCTTAACCCCACTATTAGCAAATTTCAGCGCAATTTCCCGCAGACCAATCAGATGTCGCTATTTCCATATTAGAGAGTTTACGATTAATGACGCAACCGGCTCGACGACGCGCTTTCAAAACAAAGAATTGAAATTTGCCATGCGAGACAAACTGCATGTGAATAATTCGTGGCCCCAGGGGTATTCTCAACCGCGTTGCCATTCTCAACACAACGTTAAACAAGCATTATTACGTTTTTCAGGCAACGTGAAAGCTTAATCGACTCAAGACGTGTTAGGGACGGAGCATTAGATATTTGAAGGGGTGGGGGGGGGAGGGGGTTGGGCAATTTTTCTGTGCACGAATGTCGTAAAACACCATTTTAATGTTTTTAGAATAATTGCATTACTATTTTAAAAATCACCCCTAGTTCTTGCGCGATTTTTTTTTCAATAGGTTTGTTGTGCAAGATATTTTTTAATGGATTTTTTGGTGCGCGAATTTTTTTTTGTATTTGCCCTCAAATATCTAATGGTCCGTGCCTTATTTATAAAGTCGAAAATACAGCAAGCATTGCATCGCTTCAGCCGAACGTAGCAATTTGTAAGGTTATTTGAAAAAGCGTCAAATATTTATTACAGTGTCAGTAATCAAATTGCTTATACCGCTCATTATTGAGCTGAAATTTAAACCGCGTCGTTGAGCCGGTCGCGTCGTAGATCGTAAAGCCCGGTTTCCATTGCAATCGTGCGGGCAAAGCGGACGTTAATGGCAAACGGCCTTTAACTCCCTATTGTTGAGTCACGACGTTAGGAATGTAGTCGCTAGAGGTGTGCATCGGATCGGATTGGACGTTTATAATCCGACAATTGCCTAATGTTTAGAATCCAATCCGAAATTGTCTAATCCGAATCCAATCCGAGTTTTGATATAGTCGCATTCCTGGAATTTTGACACGTTTTTTGGGCGAGAGGACGGATCCGCAATTTTGGTAGGATACCACCAACATTTCGTAATGCCACCGTGACGTAACGTGCAATCGGCCTATTTTAAAGTTATAACAACAAATACGGTTCCGATAAAAAAAAACATTCAGAAAACATGTTCAGTCATGTTTTTATTTTCATAATTTTGTGGATATTGATTCATGTCTCGCTGTGTATGAGGTAGCGCGGTTAGGGTCGTACTTGTTTACGTGGTGATGAGAACAAGCATCAATCAGTCTTTGTTGGGGATACAACTACCTGAAGAATGTAAAAAAAAACTTCGACAACGTCTACTAAGTTCCCTTTATTAGTGAATCTTACTATACAGTATTTCTCGGTTAGTATACAAGTAAATTAGAAAATGCCTAAAAAATACCTAAAAATCCGTACAAAATCTCTGAAAATCCTTGATAGTGAGGCGGATATGTGTAAAATTATTGACCAGTAGTTCCAGTTGAGGTTAAAAGCATCAAACTTTTACAATTGATGTAGTTTTATTTGCTTAATAGATATTTGAAGTGAGGCCATTCCTATTTTGCTGCTAACTCCTGAAAACGGGTGATTAGTGATTATCATCTATTGAATTCTATTATAGCCAAAAAATGTGAAATTTTGTATTCAATTACAACAAATATGACTTGCATCATCAAAAAGATTATAAAAAACTGCATGCATATAAGACGTTTAGACAGTTTTTTTTATTTCTGAAATAGTTTTCGAATTATAAACTGTTAAAAACGCATTTTCAAACATCGAATAATGAATTAGGGACTTTTAGCGAGATAATGTGCCTAATTTACAGCAATATATAACCATTTGAAGAATAAAAAACTGTTATAATCTTACTGTTATAGTCTTTTATGTAGTTTTTTACAAGCTTTCTGGTGATGCAAGTTATATTTGTCGCGATTGAATTCAAAATTTCACATTTTTTGTTGTAGTAGAATTTAATAGCAAATAATGCTAATAGCATCGTAATTCTCTAAAAAAACAGTTTCACGATGGCCCCACTTTTGCATGTTGTTCTACTCATAAAAAGATGCTACTGTGCACAATTTGGTGCTTTTAACCCTTTGCGGAAACATCCATGCACATATCCGCCACACTATGAAAGAATCCCTATAAAATCCTGTAGAGTCCAAAAATCCCTAAATAGACACATTGCACATGACGTCACAGCGCCGGTGACGAAGCATATGGAGGACAAATTAGCAATCTATGCATAATATAACCTCTGTAAATAAAGCAATTTTGTAAAACTTTATAATAATTTTGTATTAAAATGGTTAATTTTTGCACTGTATGTGGTTGTTGTGCACCAACAGATATTGTTAGGGAACATCTGGAGGACACTCTAAGGATTTGCGACGTCAGGGCAATGGGTCTATAGCTGTATAAATCCCCAAACGATCCGAACCCCCGAAAGTCTCGAAAAGACCACCCAAAAATCCTGGAATAAATTATACATGTCCAATACTATTGAATGAACACGATCAGTAAAACAACCTTGTCGATTCGGTATAGATTCGTGATATTGTCGAATCGACACGACTTGTAAGATACCTACAACCAGTCCATTGCTTCAAAATTTACCCTCAACGAAGATAAATGTAAAGTAAATACAGTTCAGCAAATCAGACTCAAGTCAGCTCTATCCGATTACAATCTATCACAAAGAATTAGAGCTGATCTTTGAGGCTAAGATCTTGAGTTTAACGATGAGAAGTAATTAATTTTTAAGTGGATCAGCGATGTTGACAGTATAATCAAGAATGCCTCTAAAACATTGTACTTTTTATGACAGCTGAAACGTACCTGCACACGCTGAGAGGAGTTGTTTTTATTGTACTTGTACGCGACCGGTATAGATGAACACGCATCGCCCGTTTTTCATTATGGAATCCCAAATTACCTGACTATAAAGACATTGAATGTATACAACGAGCCAGGGGCGGCGGAAAGTCGATAATTGGGGGGGCTGATATTCATATATTCATGTTCTGCATCATTTATTTCCTTTGAAAGCGATTGTTTTTACAGTCTGTGAACACGAATATATGAATATCAGCCCCCCCAATTATCGACTTTCCGCCGCCCCTGCAACGAGCTATGAGAATTATATTTCCTGCGAAGTCTTATAATGAAGCAATCTCACTAATCTTGGGAACTTATCTATAATCTTGAGAAAGGTGAGAGAGGTATCAGGCAGCGTGTGATAAATTGTTTAAAGAAATCACTGAAAACCCAAATCATAAATTGCATCATGCAATGCACCACAGGACACTCCCTGAGGACCAAGAGGGCTTTTAACATTCGTAAAATTAAGACAAATATAGATATATCAACACATTCTTAATTGCAAGTTCTAAACATCTTAATTCATAGTTCATAGTTTTAGAATTAGTATACTTACATGCGTATATATGTATACATATTTAAATTATAATTATTGTATAAATATAGAAGTATACCAACTGTGCGTTTACTGCGATTTATTGATCAAATTATATTTACCTCTTGCATAACAACATATAAGTTTAATGGACGAATCGAATTATATACCTAGAGCTATACACTCTAACACCAACAAACTAACTCTACAATCACCAACAGTTACGAGAAATCACACAGCCGGATTTTCAGAATCCCCAAAATCTCGCACACTTTATCTGGGGTGAGACGCCCTTCAAAACAAACAATAAATTTTGATATAACAGTTATTCGAAAACATTTTTTACAATCCAAAGAAATATATTCCTGCTAACTGTAATTTTTCTAGCTACTTCAACTACTTTATTGAGTTCCTTTCGTCTGCACCTCGATGACCACGAAATCCACAAAATAGCCCAAGTTTTCTTTAATTGGTTGAGGAAAGCTTCGGCATACATTGTTGATTTTCCTGTTAAATTAAAGGTGATATCAAAGTTGGTATCATTGTGCTTGTCCAGTTAATAAGTACTTGATAATTATTGGAGGACAATGAAAAAAAAATAAATGCAAGTTTGACGGTGAAGTACAATTAATAGCAATTGAAAGTTATCCGTGCTATGGCCAGTACAATAAGCAAAGCTATGAAACTATCTATAAAAGTTTTATCAAGGCTGGAAGCGGAATAATCTATTGCTGAAAGACGAAAGAAACGAAAGGCGAGAAGGAAAAACCTCTGGTCACAACGGTTGCAAATCCCACTTGATTATAGGTTCAGAATTTGAATCTCGCATGTGATTGGCCATTTGTAAAAATATGTCAAACCGGTTTTGGGAATAAATGTTACTGTAAGCTAATTATAGCTATAATAGAATCACATGCGAGATTTAAATTACGAATCTAATCAATTGTGGAAGTAGGATTTGCAACCGATGTGACCAGAGGCTTTTAATTCCTTCTTGTCTCTCGTTTCATTCGCCCCGCAGAGCTTTGGAACCAGAATAAAAGACACATTCATTTCAAAATAGTATAATGTTTAGTTATTAAGCTTCGGTCAAACGAGGATCTCGTTGATGAGAGTTGGCAGTCACGCAATGTTACAGAGGACACTTCATGCTCTAGATTAACAAAATAAAGGTCCATTGAGTGTTCAAGTTTAACTTCATTTTTTCTATTGAAAAAAATCTTTAATTACAGTTAACACCACAAAAAAAGGTTTACAAAGTGTAAGATTCAAGCATGCTGGGTATAAAATTGTTAGTTTAACATAAAATTTGAACATATAAACATATATAATTCGAAATTTTAGAGTTTCTTTCGGAAAGTTCAATGTCCGACGCGATGGGAATGGGAGTTTTATTCCAAGTACGACTGCCTCGCACACAAAGGAGGGCCAACGCGATTTTTCAGGGGGCAGTTGAAATTTTG